TGTGGGTTCGTGTGTGTGTGCAAAGCTTTTGTAAGGGAGCTAAAGGAGTGTCAAAACTCTAATGTCACTAACGAGCAAACCTTTAATTATTGAATCATGGGTCTAGACTACTAAATTCAAATTCTGTAATTTTCCATTTTTTAAATTTCCTGCAAGGCAAGCAAGTATATGTAGATAATCATTGCCCTCGAAAAGTGTCAACAAATGGTGCACGAAATGTCAAAGCAATTTAAAATGTAAATGAAATTTATATTAGGTTTAGAAAGATACACAGCCGTAGGGGTTGGAGGCAGAGCTAATGACATTATTTTAATAGAACAAACGAAGCAATCATGGAACAAAATTCAACCGAAAGCTCAAATAGTATTAGCGGCCTTTGCATACAATTACAGTATACTAAAGCGACTTTAGACGGAGTGGAGGTCAATGGCGAAATTCCGGTGAATATCAAATAAAACTGGCTATATCGAACTTTCTTTTTAAAATGCCTAAGATAATGTGTTAAATAGAATGAAACATTTTAAAATCATTTTCCCTAGCAACTTAAAGCTTCACAAAGTTTAGCTAAAAAAATTCCAAAAATTTTAACCACTTGAGACGACTTCTTGTCCTTATATCTATTTAACCACTAAGGCATATTTATAGAATTTATTTGTAATATAAATACGTACATACATATGCTTGTATATGCATATACGTACATCACACATAACTATGTAAGAGTTTTTAAATCCGTAATCGGCTTTGTGGCCACATTTTACTGGTTACCACATTTTACCCAAAACCACTTACAGTAATCACATTCACACATAGTACTTGTACAGCTTTGAGTGACTTAGCTGACATACTTTAGTGTGATTGAGTACTATTTGAAACCAAATGGGCGTTTCTACTATACATATATTTATATACATATACATATTTATATCAAGCGCTTGTGTATGAAAGTGTAATGAGCCGTCAAATGATGTTGTGTGCATGTGGCGCACCAAGGACGATGCTGTGTAAAATAATTCCTATATAGTGTTTATGTGTCTGGCAAATTGACTCTAGTCTTTTCAAAATTTACATATATTTAAATCTTGTTCGAGCATTAAATATGCAGAAGAATCAACCAATGACTTATTTTTATTATAGAAAATGCGATGACTTGCGTCGCCAAAGAAGTAAAAATTTTTTGTTATTAAAGCGGAAGAATAGTAAACCTTTTGATTAAGAGTCCAACTGATCCACAATTAAGAAGAAACCATGTTGAATATTTTTGGGTTACAATATGTAACATTTCTCAGCGCCTGGGAAAGAGCCCAGTTTCCGATTTTCTTTATGAAATTTTTTTCACATGCAATTCTCAACTGCCATTTAATAATCCTTTCTTAAGTTATAATTTGATGGCATTTCACAGTATGCTAGGCCTAGTCTGACGCATCTTCCAGCCAATGCTTCCGCAGTTTTTTGCGGACTCTGCATGACTTACAACCATGCACGGGTAGTAGCAGATGATTACCATTGGCCACAGTGCCTGCCCACTACTTTTTGGCCAGTAAATATATTTTTGGCTATGTAATGTGGAACGATTTTCCGTCATCCCTTGTCAAATTTGGTTTGGATATAAACCGGTTTCGGCGCTGTGCCATTTTCAGTGTCATTTTTCGTTCTGAATAGTTTCTGTTTGTCCGTCACTATTTATAGCCGTGCTAAAACGTCGTTAGTTCTTAGTTAGGTACGTCTCAGCGGATTATATTCTATCGTTCAAGCAGTAGTTTTTCTTCTGTGTATACATGCTCAGGTATTTTTGACCATTAACCGCTGAAAGTTTATGCTGGACTCCACTGAACTTCGATTTATTTCATCATTTTTAAAAATCTTAGTTCCGACTTTCTAAATACGCATGAGAATTAATTATCCAGTGTTAACGAGACCTCAATAACGCAGTTACATCAATTCTCAAGCATTCCTAAGTCAGTGTTCAACGCTTTTGCGCTAGGGGCCAGATTCACAGTGCTTAGTTAAACGACTGTTAACTTAACCACCAGCAAGAGTTTAGCTTTGAATTTATATTCAGAGCCACTATGTAGTTAACTATAGAAATTCATATCGCCTGATAATATCCAAATTCTAAAAATCAATACCTTTCTATTCGAATTTGACTTTTGAATATGAAAGTCAATAGCTAAATTCCTATCAGTGGTTAACTACGCACTGTGAACTTGGCCCTAAGTAATTGAAGGCATGTAAGCGTGAAGGAACTAAAGAGATTAAAAACTATTAAAGCTAATTGTTTTATAACATTTCTTAACTTAATTAAATAAACAAATATTTTAAAATATAAATATATGTTTCTATTAAATAACTAGTCTCTTAAAAAAATCCTATGCATATATAATGTAAATACATAAGTACAATTTTTAAATCTTTATCATACCGGTATGTTCACAATAAATTTAAAGACAACAAACTAACTTTTCCCAATACCCTGCTTAAATTGAATTTTTATACATTTTTGCTTTCAGTTCTGTGCCCATCCATTTTCAGCCAGACAAAGTCACAGCAACACTCCTCTCGTATTCTCATATTGTTTTACAAATTACTTAACTTAATCGAATTTTAATTGCTTTGCGGCAAGCTAAGCGCAGTAATAATACCCATGAAAACCAACAATGGCCAACAAAAACAACAAAATAACTAACAACACCCACAAAAGTTGGTATTTAGCTCTTCCTCCTATACAATTGAGCGGATGTAAAAGGAAGCTAAATTTTCATACTTCTACACCCAGCTGCCTAAGCACAATATGATTATAAAGACATTGGCGAAATGACCAAAGTGAAATGCAAATAGACTAAAAATAAATCATAAAAACTCTTAAATGACGTAAAAGTTGAAAGCTTAAAATTGCTTTACGCACCTCAAAAAGTTTAACAAGCAAATTTATGCCAACAATAGCACATAAATAACAAACTTAAGACCAAGTTAAATGTTGTAATAACAACAACATTTAGCAAACAAAACAAATGAAAACTGACTTGAATAGAAACAAAAAATGAGTAGAGAATATTTATATGGAGACAGCTGAGTAGCCTGAAAAGCAATTATGAGTAGCCAAAGTCAAAGTAAACCAATCACATGCATACATACACACATACTATTGTATATATGTAAATAGATTATTTTAGCGAGCGTATGTGTAGTCAGAGGGCAAGGATATTTTCATGTGGACTAAAATGGGCATTGCAGTCGAAAAACGTAAGCGATATCAGTAGGATACAAAAAAGCAAAACACAAAGTTTACCTGAAGCAAACAGAATGAAAATGACAGATTGAATGCCGCAGTGGTGGGAGTACTATGTACACTCATTGGGCCAGTTGGCATTCGTTTTGTTCGCAACTAAAAAAAGGGATGTGTGGTTATGTGCCCGTCATGCATATAATATGCATAATATGTCAAATGGAAATACATATAGGAAATGACGAAAGAAAAAATGAAAACAATTTTCTCGCTTAAAAGACTTACCAATATCATTACCATTGCCATTATCATTACCATTACCATTAACATTGCCGTTGCCATTACCATATGCATTACCATTAAGATTGCCAAGAGCATTACCATTACCATTAACATTGCCATTATCATTATCATTAACATTACGATTACCATCATCAATAGACTAGCATTATCACTACCATTACAATTACCATTACCATTACAATTAACACTACCATTACCAGCATCATTACTATTGTCATTAAAATTACCATTAGCGTTACCATTACCATTAACTGTGGCACTGCCGTTACCATTACCATAAGCATTACCATTAAAATTACCATAACCATAATTATTTCCATTATCATTATCATTAACATTACGATTACCATTATCAATACACTATCATTATCATTACCATTACCATTATATATCTCATTGCAATTAACACTACCATTATCAGTACCAATCACAATAGTTGTCATTAGAATTACCAATAGCATTACCATTCCCATTACCATTGCCATTACCACCAAAATTACCATTACCACTATAATAACCGTTTTCACCACTGCAATTACCGTTACTTGTGTCATTACCATTACTAAATCCATTATTACTACTAGCGCCTTTACAATTACCATTACCCGGATTTTTTTCTAAATTTTACTCTTATCTTGCGCCACAATTCTGGAATTATAATTGCTTCTGTATCCAGCTGGGAGTCTCGCAACAAAGCTCTATCCACTTATTGGATTTTTTATCGGCATTTGTCCCCTAATTCAACCTTCCTCTCCCTCTCTTAACTACCAATTGGGTTGGGTGCAAATTCAAAGTAAACACTCAAGTGTGTAAACAACGTCGCCCTTCATTGAATCGTAGATAAGTGTGCGGCCATTGTGCAAATGTTGTAGCCCACGAAGGCTAAGGTATCACTATTGTTGCTTACATACATATATACATACGTGTACAGATGCTGCAGGTGACGAGGGGAAGTGTTATACCAGAATAGCGGGTTTTACACTCAATTTGATGATGACCTGCTAAGGACGAGTGATTTTTTTGCGGAGATAAACATTTTCCATGTGCATTGTGCGCATACACATTCATGCAGAAGAATAGCTGACCGTATGAAACAATAAAAGCTCTGTACCAAAGAAAAAAATGTATATTTGTTTAAGTGTGCCCGACTTTATGCCAGTACGAGTTGAGCGCGAATGATTTTGTCTGTGTGTGCGTGCGCTTGGTTTGCATATAAAATTTGTTTTATGTAAAGTAGGAGAATAATATTTTATTAAAGAGATTAACGTAAACAAAGCAAAACAAAGGCAAACACCAAAGGACCGCTGCGGGTAGATACAGGGAAAGAAGAAATGTCATTTTACAAAGTAAACATCAATTTCTCATTTTCTACGTTCATGTTTACTTATGCTGAACGAGATTTTTTTTTTAAACTTATTTTCTCTTTTATTATTATTTTTAATTTTCTCTTTTCTTTTTAATTTTCTCACAGTCGCGAAGTCGCTGCATTACGAGATGGTCACCTAAGTAGCAATAAGGAGCGTCTCACCGTTGAATGGCTACAGCAATCGATCGCTGAGATACGCAAACAACTTGTCGAACTACAAGAACTTGCCAGCGATGCCAATAAAAGTGTGAGCCAACGTAGGCAAGGCTACGAGGACTTGGCAACCATACGCAATGATTTTGCCCAGCTGAAATTGGAGGTAGCCGCGCTTAGGGAACGTCAGCAGAAAAATGAGGTTTTCATACAAGAGCTGCGTGAGGAAACGCTGCAGCAGGAGGAAGACTACAAACGCTTGCTCTTGCGTGCTACAGCAGAGCCAACGCCAACTGTTGTCAAGGGAACGCCACAGCAATCGAGTGAAGTCGATGAGGAAAATAATGAGGTGAGTGAAATGCGAGACAGTTGTGCCGCATGCAAATGAGTTTGATAAGATGGAGGAATATGCTTATTTATTATTAAAGTGTGTATCTGCTGTGAAATTGCCAATGCGATAAGAGTTAAGCCGGCTATAAATAACTTCGAGTGCTATTCATCTTAAATAACCGATGCGGTGGCGACCAGTCAGACAATTTTCTCAGAAATCAGCTGATCAAGAAAACAAACTTTACGGTTGATGAGACTTTCACACTATTGGGATTGCCTTGTAGTCTCATTTCGAAAAATATTTATTTAAGTTTTTATTCAACTTTCTTAATATTTATTCGTTTAAATACCTACAAAGGTATTTCACAAGTGCATTAGAAGTAGTTATTAAAGCTGTTTACTCATTTAAAAAAAAAATATTTAAATTTTCGTTTTTTAGTAACAAAAAAATGTTATTTGTATACATGTTGGCCAATAGGATCAAATAACCCCTATCCGTGTTTAAAACAGATGAATAGTATAAATGCATTTAAATCTAATTTTATGCAATTTTAATAAAAGTCACGAAATACAATTTATGTACAAAAAATATTTGACAAATTAAATTTAAAGTGGATCAAGTGAGCTCAGTCCGTCTCTTTAGTTTTAAGGTCGTTAGTTCCTTGAAGTTGCTGGCTTCGTGAACATTCAAAATGCAGTTTTCTGAACATAAAATTAACTTGTTTTTTCACTGCTTACTTCTTTTTCATTCAAATGTGCTGTTTAGTATATTTGATGGTACATTATATGACCGCTTTACCATAAAAAGTCGACTGAAAAAACGTGAATTAAAAACTGACACGTAACAAGTTCGAACGACACTGTGCAACAATTTGAAAGATCTGTATATATTTTTTTTCGGCCATAAATATGGAAAAAAAAGGTTTCAAATTGATATCGCAGCGAAATATATAGTTTGGTACTTGTAATAAAATATCACAGGCAAAAAAATTGTAGAACATTTTAACACATTGGAGCCTTTTTATCATTGAATAGAGAGATTTTTTTATTTGTAGGTGAGGCTCTTGCTCGACCTAATAAATTTTTGATAAATATATTAAATTATCTCACCGAGATCATCAAAGTAAGAGCATTTAAATAAAAATTAAAAAAAACAATAGTTTCAATATTTCCCACTGTGGGGCGCACAGACAAAAACTGTGAGCCCACCCTTGGTGGGATGCAATATTAGTATTTCAGAAAATTACATCGAAGATAATCTAGTTAGAAAAGATTATCTTCAATCAACCTCATTTACAATCTACAGATTGAACAAATGGTGCCTTAACAATAGCTAGGCTAAATCCAGAGCCATATGCTTGCAGAGGAACTTTGTAAGTTCGCAAAGCCGAAAATTTCGAATTTGGTAAATATTTTGGGATCCATGGGCATCACAATAAAGCGAATAGCGGCTGCCCCTCGAAAGGCACTTCCTCCTAAGCTATCCAGTATTTCGGGGCTGATTTTTAAGTATCCTTTTTATCACTACTCATATCTCAATAGCCCTTAGTTAACCTCGGCGTCTGTTTTTCATCTACAGAGCTTTCCTTAGCCTTATCTAATCAATTTGGCCAAAAATAATTAGTATTTTCTAGCCTAGATATGAAATCTCAATAAATCGTGACTGAAAACTTTGGCTTTTACATACAAATTAAAAATTATTCTGGTTCCAGGGGGGCCAATACTTTCAGTGAGTTTTTGGGATAATTTAAACCTGGTCCAGAGAGAACTTTTTGTGGCCGCTTTCTTTTCTCTACTTTTCTTATACATATATATACGTACCTTAGAGTGGTTCATAAAAACACTCTTTTTGGAAATTCATAAACGCTACCTCAAATTATTGTTATTTGTGTTAAAAAAAAGAGACACGTATTTTTTTATTTTGAAAAAAAAAAGTTTTTTTGAGGTTTCGCGGTTTGAGGTTTGTTTGGGTTCCAACCCATGACAATGCGTAAATCGTTCAATATCAACGTTTTAATTTTACTAGTGTCTTTTCGAGAGCATATTTTCGGGAACTAGACCCATTCTAATTGTCCAAGACAGGTGTGTAATTAAGGGAAAGTTCCCCAATAATACAAGAGTAATTTTATGTAAAAGCCACATTTTTAGCTGCATTTTAACATATCAAGAAAATAAAAAAATTGAGAACATCAGCGTTTTTATAAAAAAAAGACCAGCGCAACCTCTAAGAAAACTTTTTTTTTTCAAAATAAAAAAAACGTGTCTCTTTTTTTAGCACAAATAACAATAACTTGAGGTAGCGTTTATTAATTTCCAAAAAAAAAAAATTTTAACCACTCTAACGTACATATGTACATTCTACAAAAATGCCAGTGCAACATAATACAAATGTTTTGTTTTAAAGAAGATTATAAATAAAATTTAACTCAGATTTTGGTATTCAATAACATAAAGGACGCTAGAGGCAAGCAAGCAAGCTAGTTTTGTTAAAGATCGAAGCAAGAAATCACCAACATTTATCAAATTGTATTATCAGGTTAATTAACAAAAAAGTTTACCATAATCTCAAAAAAAAACTACTTAAAGTAGCCAAATATATTATTGAGTAAATTTTCAAAAATTTAATAACAAACGTTCTAACAATTAGGTATTACATGCTTTTCTTAATGATTTTATTACATCCAAAAGCAAATAATGACTGCTCCATGAAAACATTAAACCTCTTTTTAACGCGTTTATTTTACATTGAATACCATATTTGTGCTTGAAAGGCGCCTCCTTAAACGACTGCATAAAAAATTATATTTTGTGTGTTAAAATCATTCCAAATGTATAAATAAGTTTGTACGTACATACGTGTGTAGTACATATGTACATATTATGTATGTAAGTATGTAAATAATTGCTCCCACTGCAGCAAGAATTTCGCGTGCACTAATCTACATTTTAATCTAACACTAATTCCCTAATAACCACTAAGTGATGGCCCCAAAACGCTAGTCACGCAAACACATACATACATACATGTACTAGTTAAGGGAGTTACATTTGTGTTGCTCGCGAACATGATTCAACAAAATGACGCTGAACTAACCATGTTCAACAATTCAACAAGCTGCCAATCAATTCAATGCTGCCAAGTGGTTTATAAGCCACCGTAGTGAATAACTACTGTGGCAGCTGTTGGTCTCATCCATTGTAATGTGTGCAATGTAAATACATCCATATGCATAGATTCATACATATGTATGAACAAGAGTGAAAGGTAAATCCTCACTACGAATTCGCGCAGTCCTTTCCATCATGCTACAAAAAAAAAATGTAAAATACAGCTGCACATTGGGGAGCTGTTAACTGCCGACAGAATTAATTTTATTTAGCGTCAATTTGCGAATATTTCAATGCAACTATGCAAAAGAGCACACATAAGCTGTGAACTTTTACTACACATTAATTCTGTTTGTGATTATTTTTCAAAGTGAACAAGCGATTTGGGGTAGAAAAAATCGTACTTTTTACAAGGGCTATAGTTAGAATTTTCCACATCAAAGGAGTTTATGGTCATCCTGATACTCAGGACCGATAGGCAAAGCACACTTGTTCCCTGAAACATGAGGAAAGCCCTAAGAACTCTCTCATTTGGCACCCAGATTAAAATATTTTATTTCACTTATTTAAATTTATTTTGAAACAGCTGGCAACTCTCTTCAAAAATATTTTCGAAATAAAGCTATCTCTCGTTTGGTAACCACAGGCAAAAATATTTCTTTAACTTACTAAATAAATTGGTTTAGAATTTCTAAACAGAAGGCAAACCTAAACATTATTTTCGAAATAAACCTTAAACCTATCTATTTTGACACCCACACTAAAATATTTCGTACAGGTAATTTTTAAATTAAATTGTTTTTGAATTTCTAACCAAGTGGCAACCATCGTCAGAAATATTTCAAAAATAGAGCTTTCTTAAACACCTTTCATTTGATACCCATATAGAATATGTAATTTAAGTTGTTAATTGAATTTATTTTGGCTTCTTAAATGGTGGCAACCCTCTTTAAGCATGTTGTAGAAATAAAGCATAATTTAACCTCTTTCGTTTGACACTCATATTACAATAGTTCACTTATCTTGCTAGTTAAGTTTATTTTGAATTTCCAAACAGCTGGCAACCCTCCCCAAAAATATTTTCAAAATGAAGCTTTCTTCAACATCTTATCGATTATTTAACTTGTTAATCAAACTGTTTTTGTACGCTAAAAGGGCTGACAAGCCTCTTACACACAAGTATCTCATTTAATTTGCTAGTTAAATTGATTTTAACTTTTTGAACAGCTGGCAACCCTCTTCGAAATTACTTCGTAATAAATCGTTTTAAAACTTAATTTTTGTATATTTTATTTAACTTATTACTAGATTTTAACTTTTTAACACTGTAGCAACTCTCCTCAAAAGATATACTATACTTTAATCCAGGTCATAACATATTTGTGGTCCACCAAACTTTTATTGAAATACGTCTCGCTGATTTTTACGTAAAAGACCAACAAAACAAACTCACCCACTCGTGTACATAGGTACATACTATAATAATTACCATTTTTGAAAGCATAAACATATTTTCATATTCTTGATACATAGTTTCTTAAATACTTAATTTACCTGTCTCCATTATATACCAAATTCTCGTTGGGAGTCCCCAAAGCAATTAAGCCTTAATATTAACGTAATTTACATAAGTTAATGTTTATTCATGCGTATACATACATGCATACTTATGTACATGCATATGTAAAGCATTACCCAGACGGAAAAAATTGAAGAAATGAGGCCTCCCAGAAGCATTTATTTTTCATATTTGGAAGCAAAAGGCCAACCGTGCTCGATCATTTATGCCTTTTTTCATATTGAATGGCCAGAGTTTCACGCGTCCTGATTCAGCGGAGCTCTGCTCTTATAAGAGGAAAATCTACAAGAAATACAATAATGAAAGAGTAAAAATTTAACATTACTCGAGGCACGCAGCGTCA